AAAAAATAAATAAATAAAAAAAAATTAAAAAAAAAATTAAAAAAATAAAAAAAATAAAAAAAATAAAATAATATATATATATATATATTCGTTTTAATCAGATTTAAATTTAACAATTAAATTTACAAATAATAAACAAAAATAGTTTTTTGTTCATTTTTAGTTTTAGTTTTAGTTAACAACAATGCACCAGAACAACAGAAATGATGGGTTTCCTCATAAGATGTATTTTTTATATATACTGGTGTTCTTTCATTTTTATTATATTTAATTTGATTTTAAATGATACTTTTATTTTTATTCTTATTTTTTCTTGCTTTTTCTTAAAGGAATAATTCACCCAAAAATGATATTTTGATAAGATATTATGACGATTGTGGGTAACCAAAGAGTTGATGGTAGCCACTGACTTTCATAGTATTTTTCCCCATACTATGGAATTGGTACCATCAACTGTTCGCCAACACATTCTTCAAAGTATCTTCTTTTGTGCTCAACAGAAGAAAGAAACTCATACAGGTTTGAAACAAACTGAGGGTGAGAGAATGATGACAGAATTTTCATTTTTGGGTGACCTTTAAATGGTTTTGAAAACAAAAAAGCGATGTTTTATTGTTTTTTTCCCTTTCTCTTTATCAAGCCTATGTAAAGCTCTGTGAACAAACTTGCCGTGTTTTTCCTCTAGGTGTGGAAACCGGCACAGTAGAGTGTAGTGACGGCTCAGACTGTGGCCGATGCCCCGAAACACGCTGACCCTCGACCCTGCGATGCCCACCGAGCTGCTGAAAGACACCATGACGATCCCCGGAACTCCTGAGCGAATCCTGCAAGAGAAAACCAACAACAAAGAGCCTCCTCAACTGCAGCCGCTGGCCGTCACCATCCCCCTGGTCAACGAGGGGCAGCTGACGGCGGCCACCGGCGGAGCAGAGCTGTCCTGTTACCGCTGCACCGTGCCCTTCGGAGTGGTGGTCCTGATCGCAGGGATCGTAGTGACGGCTGTCGCGTACAGCTTCAACTCTCACGGCTCCACCATATCTTACTTCGGACTGGTGCTGCTCTCGGCCGGGCTGGTGCTGCTCACCCTGAGCGCAGTTTGCTGGAAGGTGCGGATGGAGAGAAAGAAAGAGAGAAGACGAGAGAGTCAGACGGCACTGGTGGCCCATCAGAAAAGCATCTTTGCCTGATTCGACACAAGCATGAACTCAGAAACCTTCATGATGAACGAGTCAATGCGACATCCAGATGTTTTGCCTCAGGTCGGACCATAGACTGTAAAAAAAGATTGACGACTTATTTCCACTTCCTTCCACTGTAGAAAAGAGAAGCCAAACAGAGATTGTCTTACTAAAGAGAGGAGAGGGTCTGTATTACTTACTATTGGAGAAAGCGTAACGGCTAACTTGGATCACGTGTGCCGTAATAACCAAACATTACAAACTTGACGTCACTGAATTTCATTCAGAGTTGTGCGACACTCAATCGGCGTTTTGGATACCATAGGAATGAATGAGAAGTGCCATAAGCTGTATCCCACCTGTCACAAAAAAGTCAGTGATTTCTCTTATAAAACAGCATTTTTTTTTCGTTTTAAACTAAAAATAGTTCAATCCAAAAGTATTGTTTAGAGTAAAACATGTTAAAGATTAGCAGATAGGCTGTTGATTTATTAAATGATAAGCCATTTCTTCTAAAAAGCTGTTTATTCAGCATAGTGAAGCCTCTCCTCCATTGACATCTATTCAAAAAAATGGCCTCTGGTCTCCTTTCCCACGTACTGCCAGACCAGAAGCATTAGCATTAGCCGTTACGCTTTATGGCTTTTTCAGGCGCCTTCTAGTGGCTTTCCCGTGCCGATAACATCATTGACACCACATCCCATTTGTATAGCGTCAAATAACTTTTTAGAAAAATGAACACTTGAACATATATCTGAGTGATAAGAACTACCTGAAAAGACGGAAACTGTCTTTGGGAAAAACGTATCTGAAGTGTAATTTGATTTTTTTTCAGTTCGGCTCACATCCCATTGGTTTACATGGAGGGGCGGGGTTTATTACCTATACTGTAGCCAGCCACCACAGGGCGATTGAGAAAATTATTATTCAAAGCATCATGTTTGGGACAATGTCCAGATAATTGGCCTCAGGGGGTGACGAGACTCCATTTTTTATAGTATCAAATAACTAAAAACAAACTTTTTAGAAAAACGAATACTTAAACATGCATCAGAGTGAAAAGACGGAAACTACCTTTGATTGGCTTGATTTTGCTCACGTTCCATTGGTTTACATGGAAAGGGCGGGTTTAAGATCTATACTGCAGCCAGCCACCAGGGGCGATTGAGAAAGAAAGAGAGAAAACGAGAGAGTCAAATGGCACTGATGGCCCATCAGAGGAGCATCTTCTCCTGATTTGACACAAGCACGAACTCCCAAACCTTCATGATGAACAAATCAAAGCGTCATGTTTGGGACAATGTCCAGGTGTTTTGCCTCAGGTTGGACCATAGACTGTAAAAAAAGTTGGACGACGCGTCTTCACTTCCTTTCACTGTGGAAAAGCAAAACCACAATGTCCCATGTTTCATCTTGCACCGACGCGAGTCTGCGCAGTAGTGAGCGTGAGGTGGAGCCGCGGTATCAAAGTCCCACCAAAAAACCACAGATCCAATCACAAGCTCACAATCATGATACCACACCCTGTTTTTATAGCATCAAATAACTAACTAAAAACAACAAACAAACGAACACTTGAACATTCATTGGAGTGATAAGAACTACCTAAAATGATGGAAACTGTCTTTGGAAGAGAAGTATTTTAAGTGTAATTATATTTTTAAGTTCGGCTCACGTTCCATTGGTTTACATGGAGAGGGTGGGGTTTATGACCTATACTGCAGCCAGCCAGCAGTATCGAAATGTTTTGGCTTCACTTTTCAGGATGTGTGTGGCACACTTGGGTGAGACAAACTGAACGCTGTCAGAGAAAACGGAATTACGGTATTCCACGAATGGCTCTGAGAATGAGAATTCGGGACAGTTAATCGAGACAGACTCACAGCTGCATGTGTCCAGATGTCGAGACACAGCTGCACTGCAAAAAAATCATCTGCTTAAAACAACTCTCAAGTTCTAATGTTTACTTTCTTAAGCATCCCTATGGACCCTTTTCACATTTCCGGGTTTCTCAGCAGCGGACGTCGTCATAGTTGGGTTAACTTGAAGAGCAGCTAATGGGAGAGCACCACAAATATATTTTTTGCATCCCCAGTTGCTCAAACAGCAAAAGAAAAACTCCACGATAGTGTTTTCATGACTTTCAATAAAAGGAAAAAAATTGAGAGAGACTGATAACGGCTGTCAGAAGAGAGAACGATGTCAAATTTACCGTCCCTCCCATAGACACTGCATTAGAAACACCCTCGCATTAGCGTTAACTGTTTTTTTTTTTGTAATTTGATGCAAAGGTGATATAATACAAAGAATAGTGTTATAATTGTACATTTAAAAAATTTTTATTTATTTTTTTTTTTAAATACAAATACAAAACTTTTGAGGATTTACGATGCTGATGACCGTTAAACGCGTCATCACAGTCTTGTGAAAAGGGTCCATTGCTACTTCTCAAACATCAGGTTAGAGGCTTGTTTAGATAGCTGACACTGCAGTTTGTAACAACACCAAACCGGCAACATACAAAAACACTCAAAATACCCGAAAACAAAGCAGTGTCTAAGAATGCACTTAGAACCACTTAACAGCAAATCCCTAGCAACTGCATAGCAACTCCCTAGCAACTGGAAAAGCAACACTGCAAAAAAAAAAAAAAAAATCTTGTATCTTGTTTTTTGTTTCAAATGCCTGAAAATTCCTAAATCAAGACACATTTACTTAAGAAGGAAAATGACTATTAAGATATCAAAATATTAAATTATCAAAATGAAGTGAGTTTATGCTTAAACAAGAAAAGTGATCTGTCAATGGGGTAAGAAAAATAGTTTTGTTTACCTTTTGAATTACGTTTGCACAGATGGATATTTTTTCTTGTTTTAAGCATACACTCAAACTGCGTCCCAAATGATGCACTATACACTATGCACTTATACACGATGTACTCAACCATGTAGTGTATGAATTATAAGGTTATATTGTCATTAATAATTCGGAGTCTGATGGCCCTTCCTCCTCCATTACATAATTAAAACTGCGACAGTTGAGTGCATTAAGTGTTCAACATTCCACACTTCGTTTTTTCAGTTATTTAAGTGCATTATCCGGGTATTTAAAGTGCACTTTTTTGGGGGGAATTTTCAGTGTGAATGCACTACTCGCACTATTTACACTATAAAACGTCATAGAATACTGCATATGTATGCGATTTGGGACGTACCTTCACTTTATTTTGATACATTTTTCAGAAAACAAGATGAAAATTCTGTCATTATTTACTGTTGTACCAAACCTTTATGTATTTCCTTCTCATTTGGAACAAATATATAAGATATTTTGAAGAAAAATTAAATTAATTGTATTTTTTGTCTATACAAGTGGAAGTCAATGGGAACGGAAACTATTTGGAATTTTCAGTTTTTTTCAGAATTTTCAATTTCCAGATTCGGTTTCCATTGACTTCCATTGTATTTTTTTGTCCATACAATGGAAATCAATGGGAACGGAAACGGTTTGGCTACCAACATTCTTCAAAGTGTCTTCTTTTATGTTCTGCAGCATAAAGAAAGTTTGCGATGACATGAATTTTCATTTTTGGGTGAACTATCCCTTTAATATCTTCAGTTATTTTGATTTAAGAATGTTTAGATATTTTATAATTTTAGCGTCCTCAACCACAAACTCTAGTAGTTTCTGATGCAGTGCTAGCTGACCTTTAATGTTATAAAAAAATGCGCATTCTTTCTTTCTCTCTGTCTCTTTTGCCTGTCAGGCAGGGCCTTTTGGTTAGCTGTCAAGCGAGCTAAGGCAAACGCATCAAAATTAAGACAAGTAACCGCTGTGCAAACCCAGAGACGGGAAGTGCCATATTAATCCACGGCTGCTTCATGTCCGGGTGGATTAATGAAAAGAGACGCTTTGAGACATAAAGGAAAGGGAGGAAAATGAGGAAATGAAGAGCAATTATTTCTTCTTCATTGAGAACATCTTTCTGACACCCAGATACTTTATATGTCGCTATTGTGGACGTATGGTACTTATATCACTAGTATTATGATATGTAAACAACAATGGGCTGGAAAACCAGACTTTATGTTCTTTTATTGAATTTATTTTGTATTTCAGACTATAAGGACAGACAAACACGCTCTTACTTGAGCAGTGATGCATGTGAAGTAACTTAAAAAGACCGATAATCACATTTAAGATGACAGTATTATGTGATTTTTGTGTATTTGATCATGCAAATTCTGAATTATTGATTTCAGGTGCTTACTTTTTGATGCGAGAATGAAAATGTGTCTTAACAATTCAGTTTCAGATTGTTTATGATTTCTTCAATTATGCCTGTGGAAATGTTATATTTGTTAGATGCTGACTGAACTATTTTTAATAAACTCCTGTGAAACTAAAAAAAAAAATATCCCAATGATTTCAAAAACCATTTGAATTATTCCACCAACTAATTAATATGTAAACTCTAAAACTCAAAGCAACTGTTGCATTAAAGTTGAATATGCAGTTATAGTTGAATTTTATTGCATACTGAACTATCCGTTTAAAAGCTACATTTTAAAACAAAGTGTTATGAGTTTAAGTTGTGACTGAATGAGTCGTGTCTGAGTCATTTCATGTCTGCAGTTGATTTAGAGCAGACTGGCTTTAATTATTTCTCCATTCACTTGTGCTGTTTGTTTGAAGTGGTTAGGGTTTGGTCGAAAGATGTCAGCCTAACATAAAGAGCTATCTCGTGCGAGATTCAGCGATTAAAACTTTCAATAATGAATGGAAGGAAATGTTTCTTTCTTTCTTTCTTTTACAATGAGCTCTGCTGCACTCCACGTCTGCACTGTGTATTGTGTACACGTGAATGCGAACGGATGTGTCCAAACTTCACTGTTTATGTGGGTGACAATTTGAAAGGCAAAGTTTTTTTTGTTGTTTTGTACATAAATGTGTGTTGGCAGTGTGTGTACACAACCACCCTATAATGATAAATATCCACCCACTCCTTTTCTTTTAATCCCCATAAATCATGAGCAGTGTCTCAGAACAAGCCATTCGCAGAATCTGTACAAAGTGACGTCACATTTTACAAGCTCCGCCCACGACTGCTAACTGAGACTGCTGTATTAGCAGATACCCTGCCTTGAGTGAGCTGCACACAATCCACCATGTTTATCTTCACACTATT